TTACGGAGAAGCGTCGGAGAAGAGAATATTCCGGCGACGGCCATGACGGACCTAATCATCGGGAAGGTGAGGCATGAAGGGGAGAGACTCTGAGCCACAGGTATAAGTATACCTCTTTGGGATTTTGGTTACTAGTGATGACGTGTCTTGTTATAATTGGCTATTACCTGAGATTGTGCTATCAAGCGCCCGCCCATAGAGGTTAGGTTATCCATTGAAACGCTGCGTTTCGTGGGTCTGATTTCTTTTTTTTTTTTGTTTGGTCAACGGTCTGATTCCATTCCATATGTAGTTTTAACATGGATTGCAAAAAAGTAGATTACACTTGAGATTTGTATTTTTGTGGTTTTATTAACTAGGGCCTTTTAACTACAAAGTCTTTAAAATTGTGTTCAATATCCCATAACTTGTATTTCAAAGATCCCATAACAGTTGATAACTTTAACCCAATAACTATTTTTAACTTGTATTTATATATAGTTCATTCCTTTTTGGAAAAGTAGTTTAGTTATAAATTATTACAAGAGATAAATTAAATAATTTGGATCTCCGGTACTTATTCTCCATCGTTATTGATAATAACTTTTATCAAAATAATTTATATTTAAATTACATAATACACCCATAAAAAAAGATATGAATATGCATGTAGTTTTACTTAAGCAGCGTAATTAGCGTTGGTACCTTTGCAATCTCGGCGAATCTCTCCAGCTTTTCCTGTCAACACATTGATAGATCCCATCCTCGACATTGCCAAAGCAAAAGACTTTCTGAAATCTTCGAAACCTGAAGCAAACTCTTGTGTGATCTCCTTCGAGTCCTCGTTGTAGAGCAACTCCTGGTCCACGCCCAAAACAGCGTTATGAGACAAGACACGAGAATAGCATGAGCTGGTGAATCTGTTGCTCAATCCTGAGTCCGGGTTTAGGTAAACCAGTGGATCGGTTTGGCCCTTTTGTGTTCTTGGTGGACAAAGATATCGAAGTTGTGAAACCAAGGTCGTGTTTATAGTCGGATCTGGTTTCCCTGTGCTCTTGAAATTGTATAGTCTGTTCACTATGTGGCTGCAATGTGTCTTCCCCACTGAGTGTGCTCCTGTTCCATTATAGAGAAGATAATTAGAAGTTGTCATAATTCACTCAAAAGAATCTAAATTTATGTGTTTGATAAGAGGAATCTAAATTTAGCTACACGTTCTTATGAGTATATGATGTATAACTCCCTTCCAAAGTTTTATAGTGGTCAAGTGTTGCATACAATGAGAATTAATCCAATCATTTGGAACCTGTCATGTAAACTTGACACATACTAATTAAACTAGTATATTATAAACTCTGGATTTTTTTTCAGTTTATATAACTCTTCAATGTTAATATATATGTTCTTGTTCTAATTATTGCTTTCACATGTGAAAAATATAATAAAAGGGTTACCATTTTGAAAATATAATAAAAGGTTTTAACAAATTAATTTTGCTTAAAATTCTTATAGTTGTGGTTAATTGGTGGATTCATTTGGAAAAAAATAACACAAATGGAATATATAACGTAAACAAACAATCGAAGTTCTCGTAGTAGCACTGCGATTATACGTTTGAGAAATGATTAAATATGCTTGTGTTGTGTCT